TATAGTTATTACAGTTTTTAAGCTTTAAGTCCACAAAAGACACCACTAACTAATTTTATAATTATCGATTTATTTAGAATAAATAACGAATATTACTAAATACTAAGGGTGTAACTACCCTGTCAGCCTAACGGCGGACCAACTCCAATTATATTTATATGTATTCTGTACTTCTGATTGAATTATTTTTTATCAAAATAAAATAAACTGAACGAAACCACAGTTCGAAAAAAAAAATTAATTTCTTTAAAAATCCATATTATACATTGCGCTATATTGCTAATTTATGTTATTCTATAATTGTAATTATTCTTATTGCCAATTTGTATGCATAATATATATTCAACTTATCCAGCTTCATAAAGGCTCAAATTGCCTTTTATTTCTAATATTTTCATTGTACTTGATATTGTGCTTCCTTTTCTATTTCATTATTATAATTATATCACAATATAATGTAAATAATATTATATATAATATAATAATAAATTAAATAATAAATATATTTTATTTTTACATAAATTAGGCCATTATTTACCAAAATTTTATTTATTAGCAATTTATTCCGATGTTTTGACCATACTAAGAGCCATTTTCAAGTCTTAATGAGTCCTCCATTACATATTCATTATTAATGTCGTATTAATTTTTTCATTGAAAAATTAAATTGTTCTGCTATTTAAGAGTTTCCCCTAGGTCATTTCTGGAGGAACTGAATGAATGAAATGAACGTAGAGAAAACTCTTAAATAACAGGATAATTTAATTTTTCACTGAAAAAATTAATACGACATTAATAATGAATATGTAATGGAGGACTCATTAAGACTTGAAAATGGCCCTTAATATGGACGAAACGTCGTAATAAATAGCTAATAAATAAAATGTTGGTGAATAATGGCCTAATTTATGTAAAAAATAAAACCTCAAGACACCAATTTTAGGAATAATGAACAAAATAAATTAATATATTGTATTCAAGAGGAAAAATAATTGCTGTCATCTAAGTAAAATCTAACTACTACCTACAGATGAATACCATTATTTTCTGCATAAATGTTTGCTCTAAAATCTTTAACTTGTATTAGGAGAGTAATAGTTTACACTAGCTCAATACATGATATGTGCATATTATGTTGTACCATAACGAAGATACTAGAGTGTAAATCTCTATTTTTTATTGGGATCGTAGGAGGTTACAGGAGCTCAAACTATATGTAAATAAATGAACATCTTTATAATTGGTGCTGATTATAAAGCGAATGGGAGAGCTCCTTTAATCTCCTACACTTCTGATACTAAATTAAAATAAAATATGACACTCACTAAAAACCTTTTTTATATAATAGAGAGAAATTAAATAATAAAAAAAGTTCATACAAGAATAAGAAGAGCAGGTTTTAGATTAAGAAGTACATTGTCCCCTCCACTGATCTCCCTCATGAAATATTCCTATTTTTTAACAATTTTGTGTGAGCATTACAAACACGTACGGTTTTATGATTCAATTTTGACGAAAATGAATTCTAATTCTAATATACAAACAAAAACGTTGCTTTTTCTTCTTTAAATAAAGCTCCTCTGTTTATTCAGATTAGTAAGCGTGCTCTGAATTCACATTTGTTTCATTCATAATTTATTCCGCACATGGCCTATCTAGATCCATCTTCGTGCTCCAAGGATCATCCTCGGATTAATGTGATGGATTGAGCCATTGCAAATGATAACCGCACGCCACGGTTATTAGTACCTCGATGGTTCAGTTAGTAACGTTACTGGATCTTAGCACCTTTCTCTCTGTCGAGTCCGCTAGTAGTATGTTCGTTCTCTCTGCTAATTGGTTGGGACTTGTATATAATTTATAAATTAGAAAATGTCTCTAGTTCGCGTGTCGGTGGTGCGATAGACCTTGTCAGTGTTAAAGAGAAATAATTAAAACGAATAACTGGGTACTTTCATGAAAAAAAAAATAATGGCATAAATTTAAGCTACGATAGAATTTAACTGATACAAATTTATATGATTGAAATTCAGATATTTTTTAATGTATTTATTAAAAACAAAAATTGAAAAATTTAATTTCAATATTATACATTTGTATCAGTTAAAATCTATCGCAAATGTATGCCATTTTTTAAAATACATTTATTCCAACAAAAACCTACACCATGACCTTAATATCCCATTTGTCCCAGACCTTATCCCAGAAAAATTCTCCAAATTTCACCAGAACCTTTCCCATCACCCAAATCCCTTAGCACCATCCATTTCTACAATCCTCCTGAAAGTTTTTTATGGGATAGGGGATTATCATCCCTATACCCAACCCGCAACCTGGAGGACCAGGAGCTATGGTGTAAGACAGAGGGGTCGCTCTCCTCTCTGTGAATCTCAGGTTGAGGACTTTAACGTCTCCATGCGGGAATCGAACTCACGCCGTAGTGGTCAAAGTACTCCTATATGGGACCTGCACATAATTAATTTAATCTATATAAATAAAATAAAGGTTTTGTCTGTACATTGGATAGAATCAACCCGTTTTATGATATCTTTCCGTTTCATACATTGCAGACACCAAAGCCACTTTAAAAAAAAAAAAATTCTGTCTGTATGTCCGCATTGCAACGAAATTTTGTCAGGAGTGAACTCAGCACTAGCTTATTGCAGACTTTTGAAATTTTTACATTATATTAAGGTTTGCTTGACTTAAAACATAGACTTTAAATGAAAACAGAATATTTAGTAGAACCAAAGTTATGAATTCTTGAGTAATTTCTCCAGAGATCCCGGTTAGGCAGTTACTTACTTCGATTCCCATCCCAGCCACCTCTACCGCAAGCCACATCTAAAAATTATACTATTCAACTGATGGAAAAAATTATCACAACTCAAAGGGAAAAAATCGGAATACCGAACACCTGTAACGAGTTGTCGCATAACACGGGTAAAACACACTCATTTTTCAACTTTGTCCGATCTTCCCGTTCAAGGTGTCATTCCAATTAACTTCCCTTAGCCTAAAAAATGTTGTCGCATACATTTTTAGGATTTACGGATTGCCCGGAAATTAGGAAAAAATAACTCCCAAAAATTTCAACTCGCCCACTACAATATTCAGATCAAGTTCTAATTTCACATGGATGTAGGTTACTCAATGTCCAATGTTATTTTAATTATTTTTCCAGCGATAAACTCAGCAGAGTTTAAAGAAACGGAGAGACTACAACTCTTTTTGATTAATTAATCAACTCCACAATCTCCTCGCTTCATCATAAATGAAAATTAAACACTCAATTAATTTTAATGGATCGGTTGTGTGGTACCTAAAAAAATAGCCGAATAACAAAGTTTTTGTTATGACTATTGCGAAACATTGACTTCCATAAGCCCCGCCATAAAAAAATTCAAAACAACCCCCCTTCTCCCTCCTGACCCAATTTTATGAAATTGAATTTGGACCCTCCTCCCTTCCTCCCCCATAATACAAAAATCCTCTCAAAAAAAGATCCTCAAATTTTACTTGTACAGCCATCAATGACGGGTACATCAGCTAGTTTATTATAAGAGTGTTTGTAGGAGTGGGACGTTAAGCACAAAATACAAATAAAACTTCATACCAATTTCCAATTCTCCTTTCTCAAATCTTCGATGGTTTACAGTCTTGTTAATATGAAGTTATCAAAGATCACTGAAGTGGATTGAGTTGTATTCTATATTAGTTTTAGAATCCTCACAACAGGATTATGAGAATTTTTAGTTTCAAGGATTTTTTAGTTTGTAAATATTTTATTTTTACATACATATAAAAACTCTGTTTGGAATTTATATTAATGACCTTCTCCTCATGATCCATCACTCCAATACCATATCTATACCGATGATTCCCAAATATATCTGTCCTTCCCGCTTTCCGACCAATTATCAGCCAATGAAAAACTTCAAGAAGACTTGGATAGGATTTGTGACTGGGCGAGAACTAACAAGTTGAATTTGAATGCGGAAAAGACGAAGGCAATCTTAATAGGCTCCAATCACCTCCTTAAAACTGTTCCTAATATTCCAACTCTTTTCCTACATGATAATCCCATCAAATTCTATCCCTCCATCAAAAAACTTGGAATGATCTTTGATCAAACGCTTTCCTGGAAAAAACATATATCCAACACCTCCCGCCGTACCAATGCCACCTTAAAACGTCTAAATTACTCCCTTCACTTGAAACCCGTAGGCTCGCTCCTAGTTGCTTTCTTAATTTTGACCTTAGTAACTTCCACACTTTGACTATTGCTGAACGGTATATGGGGGCGTCTCTGAGGATCTCGAGGCGAAATTAAAACGTTTGATAAATTGCTTTGTACAATTCATCTTCGGAATCCCAAGGGACGCCTCTGTTTCCCGTTTTTATGCGGAGTTGAAGTGGCTTTATCCTTCCTACCGTCGTAAATATTTCCTGGCATCCTTCCTCTTTCAAGTCATCCAATCACACCATCCCTCATACGTCTCCGAGCTCCTTCAATTCAAATCCTCTGTTTGTTCCCGCAATACTCGTTCCCAGTCTTCTGATTTATACGTAAGTGCCCACAGAACCGCAGCTTTCGACAGATCGTTCATTATCCGATCCTCATCCCTATGGAACTAATATTTACTACTTTAAATATTTACTCAATGTAAATATTTACTACTCTAAATTTGTGTATAAATTATTAGATCGTTCTTTATTATTTTTACTTCATGTTTTTTTTTTTCAATTTTTTATTATTAACTGATTTAAATTAGTATTTTATCATTTTTTTATTTTGACTATTTAATTTTACTATTGTTGTTAATTTATCTCTGAGGCTCCTTAGCCCACATTTTTGTCTTTCTGTATTATTCTAAAGGGACTCCTCCCAGAATAAATGAAGCATTATTATTATTATTATTATTATACAACTGAATGTATTTTTTTTCGTGTGAAATAAAAAATATGTATAGCTTTTGGTTTTTAATACCATTATTACGATGAGATCATTTAGTATAGCGGTAAGCCGGCGGAAGTAAACACAGCTGACAGGAGGGAGCTAGTTGACGGAGCCGCCGCCAGGGTGCTCTGAGGCTGCCATGGCGGCGACCAGTATTGACCCCTAGGATCAGGTGCCTCTCCTCGCTCCAGGATGCCGGTCCTATCGTGTCCTTCCTAGTGATCTAGTTCTGTGTCCTCCGGGTGTATCCTCCGTCTTCGGGGAGGATGTCTTCTCCGTTGTCGCGGTACTCCAAGAGTACCCTCTGCGTCGGCTCTGTATCGTCTGGGGCGAGGGTGTGGTGATCCGTCGTGAGTGAGTCATTCCAACCGGCTGCGGGAATATAAAACTAGCTAGTAGTGTGAACGTCCTCGTCTAGACATAGTTCCTTTCTTTTAAGTCTTAATTTAGGAATCATGAAAAGTAATAATAATTATTAATTAATATCTTTAAATAAATAAATAGAAGACAGTTTAAATATAGTGTTGTGTGATCCTAATATGTATATATTGTTCCATTTAGGAATTACAATGATATTTCGGAGGAATACGGGCTATTGGTAGATGAATCAACAGACCAAAATAACAATATTACAATGACCAGCGCGGACTTACTGCAGCCTGGGCACATCGTCAAGGAAAGATGGAAAGTGGTGAGTGTCTTATCAGTCTTATCATTAACTTTAACTATCAACTTAGATTATGTATTAATATAATATACATTTATTATTAGCTTATATAGTATTAATATTAAGAAGGCTTTTAAGATTTACAAGTAAAAAAAAAAAAAAAAAAATATGTATGAGAGAAACAGATTGCAATTAATATGGCATGCGAGTCTTGAAACATCATGAATAAATAAATAGTTTTAAGTTTTATATTATCAATTCCATTTCAATTTACACGCATACAGAAACACACACAAAAAAAAAAAAAAAAAGCTAATATTTGAACTTAAGGAAAATCTTTTTGTACACTACAATATTGTTTTAAGTATTAAAATATTATTTTTTTGGGGACAGTTTTCAATTAAGATAATATGTGAGTCTTGAAACATCATGAATAAATAAACAATTAATGTTTAATATTGGTATAATATCTAATAATAATAATATATATAATAAATATTGTAATTAAGTATGAATGTTTTTATTTTTAATTTATTTATTTCTTTTACTCATAATTTATTTAATTTTATTACGAATTTATGTATTTTATTTAATTTTTACTTCAAGTAACATTTCTTTGGTTTTATTATCATTTTTGCCTTCGTTATATAGATATATATTTTTTTATTTTATTTGTATTGTATACTTAATATGAATGTGCCTCACTCAGCTTACTACTCAATGCCCTCAATAAAGAGATTATAAAAAATGAATTACATATGAAATGATATTCCAACAACATTGAGCTATCACTTTTTTTTTTTTAATTTATTCAAAAATCAATGGCCAATTCCATTCTTCAGCTTACACACATACACGCAATATCTTGGCTTTCGGATAAATCTTTATCTATACTCCAATATTGTATTATTATGATATTAAGTATTATCATTGTATTAATTTTTTTAATTAAAATTAAAGTAGCATGTGATTTTTGAAATAACATGATTAAATAAATACTTGAAATTATATACGATTTTGTTGGTACATACGTAATAATCTAATGAGATTCTAACAACATTAATTGAACTATTTAGTTTTATTTTAATTTAATAAAAAAATTAATTGTCAATTATGCCTATTTTAATTTTGTTTTAAGTGTTACGAAAATGTTATTTATTTTTAAATTAAAAAAAAAATAATAATTTAGGAATTTGTAAATTATGTTTCAAGAATCAATGAGAAAATAATAATAATAATAATATAGAAATTAATTTTCTATGAGAATATTCATTAAAGAATAAATAAATAAAGATTCTTAATTCTTCATGTGGGCGTTTTTCTCATTAATGAATGGATGTTAGTTTTCGAAATATTTTAATTTCTTTTTGTTTTGTTAGACCAATAGTTTCTAGAAAGAATTTTATAAATACACACTCTTATTTAGCTAATTTACTTATATTTAGATATGTTTTTATGTATTTGCACATTTATTGAACATATGTTTGCGAAACCTTGCGCATAAACGATCTAAGATAACTCAACTCAAACTATATATATATGTATGTATATGTATATATATATATTATACCTTGGGAAACCGGGTTTCGTGTGGTTGCGTCAAATAACCTCCCTTTGTTTCCCTTCTCGTCGATTATCGACCATTTTTTAATTCAATTTAAAAGTTTCCCAAACTGAGATGTAAGTTTATTTATCCATTTTTTATTAATAATATTTTATTTTAAATTTTTTTCTATAAATTCAATGTCTAAGTATTCTTTAGAAGCCTAATGCCTGCAATGTCAGAACTTAAATCAAGGCATTTGCTAATTGTCACTCCACACCTGTGACAGGTGCGAATAAATAAAAAAAACTATGTCAAGGACTAATTTTTTAAAAAGTTGATTTGATTAAATTTTAAGGTTTCCTCACTTCTTTCTATTTCCCTCTCTCTCTCTCTGTATATATATATATATATATATATATATTATATATTATATATATATATATATATATATATATATATATATATATATATATATATATATAGACAGACTGTCTGTCTATATATATATATATATATATATATATATAGACAGACTGTCAGACAGAAAGACAGAGCTGTGAAAATTATAGTAAAAACAGTTACGAAGTTATTGTTTGTTGCCTTTAGTGTTATCCAAAATCAGTCTTGTTCTTGCACTTTGCAAGACTAAGACCAAGGCCGCTTAACTGTTGCAAAACGGAGACCAGGACTGGTAAAAAAAATTGATTTTTTAAAATAAAAATTGATGCAAAATAGTTACTAATACTTGAAAATTTTAGTTACTATATGTAAAGAATTGGTACAACCAATATAATTTTGCCTTTAACTCATCTAATTTTTCATTCTGGCTTTGTTAGGTTTCTCCTATCTAAAAAATTACAATAATATATCTATAACAATAAGCTAATAAGTAACTGCTAGGACTCTTGCGCAAAACCATGACCAAGACTGAGTTAGGTAGACCAAGACTCTTCTCGATCTCGCATTTGGGCAACACTAGTTGCCTTAGATATTTATTTTTTTTTTAATGATATTTTAGTCTAATATATGAAAATAATTTATCTATAATGTTATTAAATAGAAGTTCTAACTTGAATATATGTGGGAATATAGACAGCCTCCTCCATCTCTGCCTATTTTGGGCTGTTTCTTTCCAGTCATCTGCACGCAGCTCCTTTGCATCTTTGTTGATTATATCTATTTATCTACTTCTTAACTGTCAACGTTATCTTTTGCCTACTATTGATGCATTCATTGTTGTGTAGAGGCTTCCTGGTGCACTTGAATATGTAACAGTTATAATTTATCCATTCGGAAAATTAAAGAAATCTTTGATAATTGAAGAAAAACTAAATTAAAAATGGATGAGTAGCAGACCTGCGTCAATGACTCGTATTTTTCTCACATTCATGTTTGGGAAAAATATGAAAAGGGATTTAATTGGTTAACTAGTTCTTACCTAAGGAAATTGAATAAACTTTTAAAATAAATTTAACTGTTTAATTTATTTCTGGTTCATTTTTTACGTAAGCATCGCCATTTACTTTTGGTAACAGTTACTCGCCATCTTTGAACAAAATGAAATAAAATAACAGTTATTATTTAGAAATCACATGTACTAAAAGAAAAAATGATTTATTAAAAATTAAATAAAACAATGCCCACATGTCATAATGAAACGGAAGACCCTACAACAGGCGACTTAAACTACTTTACTCACTTTTTTCCATATACTCAAAACTAGAACTGAGGCAGAAACTAAAAAATCTTGTGTGTCCACTCACATGACTTTCCTATCTATTTCAGAAAAGTTTTTATATCTTCACATATGACCAACAAGAAACAAAAAAAAAAATTAGATTTATTTTCCTGAAAATTGATTAAAGAAAAGATTTGAGTACGATTTATTTGATAAACTAAAGGAATGTAAACCGGCTTAAGGTATATTAGAGTAAAAATACCCTCTAATATTGCTGATCAAATACTTTTTACCATGGCCTAATTTTGTCAAACAATAATTTATGTTAAAAGTAGAGGAAATAGTGAAGCTTGTGTGATGTGGGCAACCTTTATTTAATAGTTGTCCGAAATGAACGACTTTATAACGTAATATATATATATTTTTATTTATTTTTGTTGAATAAGAAACACTAACTAAAAAATATTTAATTTAGGTTATAATTTCTTCTTCGTATGTAGACAAAATTTCTTTTAAACTCAAGTAGAGATTGTCTTTTTTTTCAAATCATTTAAAGGGGACTTTTACATATCTCTAAAATACATTTAGTACTATTTTTCATTAGATCGTGGATTATTTACAATAGTTTTTATCATCCTTCTACAGGTACCACACTCTTGTTTAATAAGCTTTAATTCGAATATATATATATATATATATATATATATATATATATAGGGTGTTTCAGGATTAAGTGACTTACTGAAAATATAAACTAAGGACCTCAAAACAAGAAAAAGGTATGTCGGAATTAGCTTTGTTTAGGAGATATTCAAACCTAAAGATTTTCCTCGTTATGAATTATTTACGTTATATTACGAGTAAGTAAGTAAAACTTATTTATTTGTTCCAACTACTTTATGTAGTGGCATGTGGCTTCCATCAGATGGTTTCCTGCACATAACGGAAGAGGTTCACTACAATGGCTAAATGTTAATTATTGGCTTGGCCTGCACGCTCTCCAGGCACCTCTGGATTTTTTTTTGTTTGGGGTGACATTAAACCAAAAGTCTATGCAAGTCCGGTCAATGACCTTAATTCCTTACGAAGAAGGATAATTGAATCTTGTGAAACTATAACTCATATCCAGTGCCGTTCTGCCACTGCTGCTGTTGAAGAAAGATGCCGAGCCTGTCTTAATGCTCAAGGAAATCACTTTGAACAACATTTAATATGAATGTTAATGTTTAAATTTAATAAATGAAATAGTTAGAACAAATAAATAGGTTTTATTTATTTCATATAACGTAAATAATTCATAACAACGAAATTCTTCAGGTGTGAATATCTCCTAAACAAAGCGTTTGCAGACATACCTTGAGAGGAAATTTTTTTCTTGTTTTGAGGTCCTTAGTTCATTTTTGCAGTTTGTCCACTTAACCCTAAAACACCCTGTATATATGTATGTGTGTGTAAATAAATAAATACTGATATAAATAAAATAATTAACTTAGCAAAAAACTACTTTTTCTAAATAGATAAGAATGAATTTGAATTCCAACAATACTCTGCTACATTCCATGTGTGATGTGACATGACTGAATTAATTGCATACCATTACGAATATATCACCAGCTAGCACGTATATTGAAATGTATTCCCCATCTCTGCCTTATATATATTTCTAATATTTTTTTTAACTATTAGATTGGTATAATTAATTTATGATGTGTATTAAAAAGTACAACTTTTAAAATCAACGATTTTAGAGAAAAGTTAAATTATATATATATATATATATATATATATATATATATATAATATATATATATATATATATATATATATTATATATATATATATATATATATATATATATATATATATATATATATCGTCTATCTGTATATAGTCGTCTATCTGTGCCAAGATTATCTCGAGAACAAGGGAACAAGTGGGCCGATTGTGTAGCATATATTTTTGGTTTTGTATGGTTTTGTTATATGTATATAACAAAACCATACAAAACCAAAAATATATGCTACACAATCGGCCCACTTGTTTCCTTGTTCTCGAGATAATCTTGGCACAAATAGACGAAACAATATTTTAAAATGTTTTTTTCGTGCTCAGTGGCCTCTGAAACGTTAAGATCCGTTGAAAACCACACATCGGAAATTTGAACCGATCGCAATATTTCCCTAGGTATGAAAGTAAAAATCAGTGTTGGGTATACATTAACTGTTCAAGAGGCTAATGCCCTCTTATTATTTCCTAATCTCGTTAGTTGTTAATTGGAGGACATTTAATTATAGTGGATTAAGTATAATTAAGAAGATGGATGAATTATTAATTTTAAATAAAATTATTTAATTAAATTTAACATAAATTTCAATTAATGACAAAAGGAGCACACGAGGCTTTAGGTAATTATTGCAAGTTTTGTAACAAAATTACATTGACATGTAATGTTTTTAATTAACTCTTTTCTAGACATTAATTGCTATGAGAGTATGGGAATGGGATGGGAATAATTTCCCGAATAGTTGACTTAACTAGACATGAATTTTTACAGATAAACTATTTTTTTTTTTTTTTATACTTGGAAGTTATTATTACCAAAAACAAAGATAATTAAACAGCTTCCCAACAAAAAAGAAGAATTATTCATTTTAAATTCAATTATTTCATTAAATTTAAATTATCGACTGACTTAACACATCTCGGTATTCACTTCGACAGACATTTAAAATTTAGTAGGCATTTTGACAAAAAAATTAAAACAGTAAGATCTAAGACGTGCAAACTCCAAAATTTAATCCCGACAACAAACCTATCTTTACGCCTAAAGTTTCTAGTCTGTACAAGTATTATACGGCCGGCTCTGTTGTATGGTGCACCTCTGTTCGATCAGCAAAACAACTGGAAAAAGATCACAATATTTCCATAGTGGAATAATTCGAAAAATTGTAAGAGGAACCACGATGCAGAGAATGAAGACGTTGGATATATAAGAAACACTAAATTTATCAACAATAAAACAATTTCTCGCAAAACAAAAAAAAAATCCTTTTTCGAAAACTCTCAACAATTGGCAAACCCTCTTTTCAACAACTTATTACCAGCCAAAATTCCAAAACGTTGGCAACAACTCACATGAGAGAGATGTTTTATTAATTTAGTTGTAAGCT